GCATTTTAAGTTTTATTAGATCATTTTAATATTAAATTCCATTCCATTCTTAAAAATAGTTTAAATAATTTTTTTGCAATTAAATGTGGATTTTTTATTATTATGAGTAATAATTATATTTTATAAAATTTCAAGCTAAAAATAATTTGAATGAAGCTCTCATTAGGAGTATGTTTAGTAATAACTTAAATACTATAAAATAGAGAAGTCATTATGAGTTTACTTTCTATACATTTATGATTATCATTTATGACTATCGCCCCAAATTCCCGATGCAAACACATTACATCAAAAAGTCAGTAAAACTTAGGTAGACCACCTAATTTTTATAACTATTCATCCAGCTTATTATTTTTACTCAAGTCCTTTCATTTTGAACAAACTTGCTACTGCTTTTTTTTTTAAATAAAAAATTAACATATTTTTTAATTAATTATTACAGATAATAACAGGTTGCGAGGTTTTGTTCAAAAAAACGCAGAAGATTCTTCACTTCAAAGGCCGACTCTAGAAAAATGGTGCTTATTATAATTTTTAGGCAATATGTTTTCTTTAGATAACAAGAATTAATTAGAAGATAAACAAAAATACTTAAAAAAAACGTAAGAAAAATTGTACCAATTTTGTACCACAATAATGTCTACACCTTTTTGAGTATCAGGACATATAAGGCACGATTTCTTCGTTTTTTGAAACAAAATTTTTTTCTGTACTTTGCAACAGAAACAATATATAATTATAGAAACTAAAAATAAAAACAAATATTTTAAATATATTTTAATTTATATATAAAAATAAAGATAGTCAATTCGTAACACCACTATCGGTGGGGAATATATTAAAACTTGAGATAAATCTTTAAAACATAAAATTAAAGATCTATTTTCATAGAAAATAATATTTAAATAATTTTAAGTTACAATTCTCCCTTGCAAACCTCTTTCAATTAGAACACACTATTTGCCTTCATACCTCTTTTCTGTCTGTCTGTCGTCTTTCTCCTGCTTTTCTCTCCCTTCTGTTTTGTCTCACTCCTGTCTCTTTCTCATCTATCCTTGGGCCCTCCTAGTTTTCTATCTTATCCTCCTTTTACCTCTTAATTATCTCTTTCTCTTCTTTATCCAGCTTCATTCTTATACATCTGTTTTCTTTCTTTCATCTCTCTTTCATCTTCCTTTTGTCACCCTTCTATCTTACGAAAGTCTATCTCTCTTCACTCCTTTTTCTCCATGATATCTTCCAATAGACTCTAAATGGTTTTTCTCATGTCTATCTCTTATCTCTCTCATGTATCAGTCTCGTGTCTTATGTCGTTTTCGAATCTTTCTTGTCTTTTTTCTGCCTTTCTATTGTGTTTGTGTATATCTGTTCTTTTCCTGCTCTCTCCCTTCTCCCTATCTTGCCTTACATTGGTCCCTTAATTCTTTTCCTCATGTCTTTCTTGCTTCAGTCTTGTATTTGCTTTTCTCTCTGTTTTGTGTCTCTTTTTAATCTCTTTTTTTTTCTCTCCTGTCGCTCTATCGACTATCCTGGTCCCTCTTTTTGTCTACCTCTTGTCTATCATTTGTCTTTCTTTCTTTATCTTTCTTGTGTCTTTTTCATATTCGTAGAGGGGACCCCTTATCTCCCTTTTGACTTTTAATTGTTTCTCTCTCGTCCTTCTCTTGTGTCACACTTGTCTCTCTCTCTCACCCTATCGACTATCCCTGTTCGCTCTTTTTGTCTCTCTCTTGTCTCTTAATTATCTCCCTTTCATCTGTTAGTTGTTTGTTTTTTTATCTCTTTTGTATTTCAATCATCTACTTAGAGGAGGACACTCTCATTTTTCTATCATCTATTCCTCTTGTAACTTTTTCGTCTTCTTAGAGGAGGACACTCTTATTTTTCTATCATCTATCCCTCTTGTATCTTTATCATCTTCTTAGAGGAGGACACTCTTATTTTTCTATCATCTATCTCTGGTCTTTCATCCAATTTTTTTTTACTTTCTTTAAACTTTTAAATGTCTCCCTCCCGTCTCTCACTTGTATCTCGTGAGAGCGAGCGAGGAAGAGTGACCTCTTTTGGTATGTTCTTATATTTCGCTTAACTCTGGCTTGTCTTTCTTTCTTCCTTTTATTTATCTCTCGCCACTCTCCTGTCCCTCTCTCGTCTCCGTCTTGTATCTTTCAAAAAAACTTAGTAATACGTGACCACCTACTGGTACTTGCGACGTTCTAGAATTGAATATTACTTAATATCCTCAAAATTCATTCCTAATATAATAATTAGCCTCTTTTAAGTACAATTTCTTCTACTTTAGTTGTAATCATTTTTAAAATCATTTTGAATAAGTGGCCCGAAGCTGGTATATACTGATTATTATATTACTCGTAGTATAAAAATTGTTGCAAACTAAAAACAAAGATTAAATCCATTACCACTCAATGGACATTTTTCCTTCTTTTTAAAGAAATTTTATAAAAATTTCTATGAATGCAATTCCTTTAAATGTATTCAAAATCAAGAGCCCAATATATCTATTCCAATTAAATTTGAAAAAATGTTTTGATTAATGCGTTTCAATGGAACAAGTTTCTATTTCAAATTCAAATAAATTTCTAAAAATTTCGCCGTTTTTCTCCTCCATGTCGATCTGCATATTTCAGAAACCACAACAATAAATGCGGCAAACTTTCTCCCACAAGTTTAACAAAAGCGGTGAAGCCGTTGATGTGATAAAATAACGAGTGTGAAACTGAAAACTTTCTTAATTCAATTGGCAACGAACCCAGTGAAATGCAAACAATCATTAAACTTTAAAATAAACTCGATTCAGTTTATGTGGTTTAAAAAAGTTAACATCGCAGTTGAATGAAAGTTAAATTACAAATTTTTTAATGTTTTTATTGTTTTTATTGTTTTTATTTTAATCAAAGTAAAAAAGAGAATTATTTCAAGTTAACAATAAACCGCAACATTTTTTGAACACGTTTAATTATAAAATAACAAGAATTCTAAATATAATTAAATTTTTTTCACAGAAAACAAAGGAATTAAGTTTTATAATTTCACACAAAATGCAGCGGGCGGGAGAGTGAAATATTTAATATAACAAATGCTCGGACAACACCAAAGACCAACTACTGCTCACCGCAAACCATTGGAAAATACGAGTACGGCGCAACAATAAAATAGCCGCCTCCGATACATTGACTCCTACCTATTTCCTGCAACGAGGATCCCGCGCACACTGGGTGCAATAATGTATGACCGGAAATGCAACATATGCTTGGCGGCAGTCATTTTTGTGGTATTAAAGCACACTTCACTGGACGTGATGGCAAATATTATGAAATTGGCTGCAGTGAACGTTATGAGCATTACACGTTGCAACCGAAAATTGCATCCAATTTAAAGCATGTCGACTCCACCGAAGAATCCTCCGCTATACCACAATTTGACATGTTATGAATGTTGTAAGTCATATTACAAAAACAAATGAATTGTTAAGATTTTAATTAAACTAAAAGCAAAAGAAATACAATGAGGTCAATTGAAATACTGTTTTTAAATTTTTGGGACTTTAAACAGCCTTACTATAATTATAATATTTTATATCGTAGAGGTTTTCAGAATTCGAAAGTCTTAAAATTGATAAAAATATATCATGCTGAAGCTATGCAGCTATGCCAGTGCACTTGAGCACTTTTACTCTTTCTTAACTCGAGGTATTTTCAAGACCCCTCTTTACGCCTCGACTGGATTATTGTTTATCACTTCATCAGACTAAGCAATAATTGACCTCAGATTTGCATACCTCCCGAGGAGTCTGTAACCATTCTGAGATTCAATAACTTGATGTTGGTAGGTCCATCAGTTTTTGCAAATAATTTCAGGACTCTATCCTTTATATATTTTTTGATGGGACCAATTTTGAGGTCCTTGAGGATGTCATTCGTCCTAATGTACCTTGAACAGTTTTTTCAGAGCCTGGCTTTGTGCAATTTCTAACTGGTGAATAGTAGTGTTTGCAGCTTTGCTAAATGCTACACATCCATGTATAGATATGTTATATCTAATATATATCGATGGATCAAAAACTAGGAGTGGCGTAATCAGTGAGTTTTTTTAGCAGGGCTAAATATATACACGTACTATAGACTTCTAGATCATTGTACTGTTTTTCACCCAAAAATAAAGCTTGCAAAAACACTGTCAAAAAAAATATTTCTTATATGGCCTTTATATTAGCACAATCCTGGCTACGTACTACAGGTCTATAAGTTTATCAAGCCTATATTGCTACGAATACATAACACCTGATGTAATACCTGAATACCTGACATAAATCACATCCTTCACACAAAAGAGTACAAAAAGATTGAATTGTCTCCTCAAAGATATCCGAGTTGTGTTGAATAGTTTTAGATTCTAATATGAGACTAACATTGACTGAAGATGTCTAAGCTGTTACAACCAATAATTGCTATTAAATCAAAATGTTGGTAAATAGAATAGTTAATATTTTTAATAAAATGTTGATTATTAAAAAAAAAAACAATATACCATCTCACAATAGAGTTTTCCATCCAAATTATATTACTAAGTCTATATAATTGTTATGCTTAAAAACAAGTAACGCCGTCTGGATTAAGTAAGTAGACGCCCAATGCGATTAGAATCAGGTTACATTGATATATGATTGTGGTAAGCAAGGTCAAACGTAGGGGGTAACGGAGATGATAATAGTCTACACTGCACAATGCTGGCAACAATAGATGTTAAGCGATATTTATTTAAAAAACTGTAGATTCCTACATTATACTCCGTCGAGAGATATCATTCGATATTTCAATTTGCCGTTTAGGATAATACTCTTCTATAAACAAATATTATTTATTATTAATATCAAGGAAATGAAAAAGTAGCCAGAGAAAAATTTTATGGAACAGTGAAATGTCAACGATATAAACTGAATATAATTTTTAAAAAGTTATGACATTATAGTTTCAATAAATTATTATATAAAAATTACTAATTATGGTCTGCAGTTGGAACGTTTAGTAGCACAATAAAAATTTTGAACAGTTTCTAATCACACAATTGGTAAGTTAATAATCTCGGTCTAGATTTTTATAACACGTTGATCAAATTGTCATATGTCCTTTAAAGTATTTATATTTTTGATAAGCTGGACTAGCTAAATTCATTGAGTCTGATCCGTCTGCCTGGTGCGACTTGAATTTGCTCTTCAGTTACTTCACTGAAATTTTGCAAACGATCTTATCGAAAGTCGACCTTGATCTCTTATTGGCTATAGATTCGTAATCGAACTTCTTATACACTGGATTCTTCATAAATATAGTTATATATAGTAGATTCAGAATATCTGCTATTGATTATGGACAAAAATTTTTATAAGCAGATAGTTATTGATTTCTAAAAATTAATTGATTCTTCTAAAAATTAATAAGAAGACACCAATCGGTTTTAATAGTATTCACAAGCTAAAAAAAAAGTTCTGTACCACTTATTTCTCAACTAATTACTTAATGAAGTGTTATTCATCCATGAATAAATCTACCGCGATAAGCTGACTTCATTTAAAAGCTTTGTCAATTCTCTTTTTTTTTTTACTTACAACTATCTGACATAAGTGGTTTATTCCTTGACTGAACTTATCTGTTGTTAATCGGTTTTGAGTTCTTGTGTAAATGAATTTTGTAACTACACAAATACACAATTTTGCTAACCACAAATTTCGCTTAAGCAAACGACTTGTTAGTGCCAAAATGAAAACAGAACTATTCGCTTTTGTTGAGGATACATCTGTGATAGATGTCAATGGTGACATCTATTGTAAACTTGTTACTTGTTTTATAAAATTTAAAGAAAAAACTAAATTCGATTTTAAAATGACATATATAAGAACAAAGTTCAGAACTACAAATACGAACTCCAAGACCTTTATTTCTAGATTGATGAGTATTTTTATTAATAAGCTCCTAAACATTAAATTTTATTCTATTTTCAATATTTAAGTAAATCAACCTAAGAGCTTGCTTTCCATATGATAGCGATTTCCTTCAAGTTATATTTATCCTCTTTTTTTTTGTATATCAGTTAATAGCATTCTATATATTTGGTTCTACAGTGCGTATAAGTAACTTGCAAAGTAACTTTTCTCCAAAATTTCATTGTAAATCGCATTTATCTGCAATACAACAAGCACAAAAACATCATTAATTTTAGTTATTATAAACTTATAGTGAGGGAAAACTATTCAGATGGAGCCCATAAACACACTTACTAATGCGGGCTTAACCGGGATAAAATCACTTCAGCAAAAAATGCATACCACGAAACTTGCAAGTAGTTGTTGCAGAATGTTGAGTGGCAAAATAGTTTCAACTTTTTTGCTTTTCTTATAAAATTGCATACAAAAGTCTCATTTTTATGCAGCATTGCTGCTTGCAACTGCAATATTTGGTGGCTACTACCAGTCCGGGAAAATTATGCAAAATCCACAAAAAGTTTTTCAGGTTTTTATTTTTGGCTGCTACGTTTCGTAGTTTTTATGCTGATTAATTCTTTAGGGACATTGATGACTTTAACTTGATAATAATTTTTATTTATAATACTAAAAATTATAAAAGAAAAGCAAATATACAATGCACAAGTATATTTTCGATATTGAAAATAATGTATCTAAGTGTTTTTTAGCTTGAGTTTTATTTAAATATATTGAACGTGATTTGTCTTTTTAGCAGAATTTCTTAAGTTCAAATTTTTACTTAAGTGCAGAAGGAATTCCCTTTTCAGAACAAAATCCTTTTTAATCAAAGCAAAATAAAATGGTTTAGTTTGCTCTCCATGACACTCCTAAGTTAATTAGTATGCAGTCATTGCAATAACACCAACGTAAAAAATTTCAGACTATTTTGATTTCTTACTTCAAAGCAAGAGCAAAAAATGAGAAAACCATATATACATATATCCAAACAACATATATATTACACATATATCTCGCATATGAAATAGAATCAATATGATAGCATTCGATTAGTTTGTAGGAACCTATTGAGTCGGCAAACAAAAACGTCATCTCCTTCCTGAATAAATGAATTGAACTCTGGTCACAGCTGTGGGCCATAAAATTTCAATTTAATACTGGTGCATAATCGTACCGAAAAAGTATCCAAACAAACAAACTCCTACACATAAAAATCAATAGAGGAAAATATCTTTTGCGAAATGTCTGAACAGAATAAAGTTATTATTTGACTTGGGCTAAGGAACAACAGGAAAACATAAGCATTAAATTAGCATACCATATAAAAGTTGCCATTGTTTTCTTTGTATGATTGAGGTTTAAACTACATTTGTCATTCCCATTTCTGGTTTTTGTTCATACTTAAACAGAGATCTGATAAAGGCTTAGACGTACCACCTGCGTACAAAAAGGACAACGCATATTAAAAATTGTTCATAAATTATTTTAAACGATTTGGCTTTTCGATGCAAAATGAGCAATTCACATATAATAGGAATTGTGGATACGAAAATTGATATTTTCTTAAAACCATATAGGAGCTGTTTAACAAAACTGTTGGATTGATGAGTCTAATTGAACAATTTTAGTTCAAAGAGTTTTATATTCATTTCAATACATAAAAATAATAATATTTGTATAAATATAATCAATTAAAAATTGAAAAGTTTTAAAAATCTAACCCAGTTGCTACCGCTAAAACAGAAAGTTTGGATGAGTTGCAGTACCTTAGCGCAGGTATCTAATTTATTGCCACAAAATCTCTCTCAATATTCTGCACTTGGAATGGAAGAACTTAATGGAAGAACTTTCCATTAAGCTCCTCCAATCCCTCGCTCCTTCAAAGGACACCCCAATTACTTGCTCTCTCTTCCATTGCAATGGTTTAATATCTCAACGCAATTACGTAGCTTAATCGTCGATTTAGTAACCCATTTCATAGAGTGTACTCTTAAAGAATCTGATTCCTAATTAAATACCCATCATCACTTTTATTTTAGGTAATCGAAGTTTTCACTCCTAGCTTGAATAGCTGCATAAATCCATATACTACGCTTCTTATCCATTTACCAAGCTCCTTATCCTTAGAGAATGTGATTTCAGCCTTGAGTCTTTTAGAGTCGGATGACTGAAGACGTCTGAACTCATTCCAAAAAAAATGGAGTGTTTTACTGTTTCACACTCATTTATATTGTCCCCTTGTGACATATAAGCCAGACGTAAACAAATATTATTTGATTTTGATACTAAAGAATCTATTGTTATTATTATTATTAAAAGACGGGATTGTGCACTGCGACCTAAAAGATCTATTGTGCCCCTTACTCGGTTTAGAGTGTTTCTCCAAGCCCGATTCCTTTAATGAAAGACAGTATAGAGCCTACCCTTCCTAGTCTTGAATCTTTATGATCCATGAAAAACCCTCCTAGGTGTTTCTTCCGCTTGTGCATCAGTGCCGAGCACTTCCCAAGCACATGGTGTGCAGTTTCTCTCTCTTCTCTACAGTATCTGTAGTCTGAGTTGGAATCTACAGTGACGGGTCAATAATTCCGTAATAATTCTTAGGTTGTTTTTTAATTGTGCTATGCAATCTTTGAAGCGTTTTAGATTGTAAGTCCCTAACAGCATTTTAGATTGTGAGAGTCCTGGTAACCTGTCCCAATAGAATTCGCTTTCTTTTTCCTCTGCACCATTCATAAGAATAGATGGAATTCCTTTACTCTATACTTTACTCTATTACACAGAATGGTTCTGGGCCTATCATTCTTGAGGCTGCGCCTCTTCTTGCAAGATTGTCTGCGGTTTCATTGCCTTGGATACCAGCTTGTCCCGAAATTAGATGCATCTGATTGTTTCAGCCAAGTATGTTCAGCTTGTCCATGCACTCCCATACCAGTTTAGATGATACCTGATAGGATACGAGTGCCATTATAGCTGCCTGACTGTCAGTCAATATTGTGATTTTACGATTCCGGTAGGCACGTTCACGGTTGAAAGCTAAAGGTAAAGAATCTAAAAAATAGAGAGAATTCATTTTGCTTTTTTCGGAGAAACATATAAGTATATATATAATTACGCTAACAAAAAAGGTTGTGTTCCCTTTTTGACTGTATTGCCGTTGCCATATATAGATAAAATTTATACCGTTGGAAAGGTGAAGACGTGCAGAATGTTATTTTTTCGCATATATGTTCGAATGTAATACTAACCAAAGTCAAAGTAGGATTTCAATACTGATTTTGACTAACAATTACAAAAAGCAATTTTAAATTGCTTCCAAAAGCTGAGTAGGCTATCCGAATTAACTTATAATATGAAGTAAAATTAAAAAATGTAAAATGTAAAATTTAAAGTTGGTTAAAGTATTAGACTTGCTAATAAATTCTAATAAAATGTTTGTTTAAAAAGGAGCAAGTTTTTTTAGTTCAAATAAAAATAAAATTTATCACAAAATAACATTGAAATAAAACTAATTTTTTGGTATGTAAAACAAACAAACTTCTTATTATTTTCACTGTTTTATAAATTCAGTGACTTTATTATATTACATGAAATATATTTAATGCAATAATAATTTTTTTTTATTCAGTCATTACTTAATATGATCAATTTGTTTATTAATAAATTAATTAAAATTAATCGAATTTCAGGTCAATTTTTAGCATGTATCTCAAAGTGGTCTAATTTTGGACGATTTCAACTAAAAAATTTTGTAAGTACGTAATTCATTTTTATAATAATAAAAAATTAACTATATTTTATATATTAATATATATTTATTTTAAATACATAATAACCTGGAACACGACAAATATTAATTCATAATCTATTTTTATTTTATTTGAAAACTTGTTATAAATTAATTTTAATTAAAAATACATAAAAGACCACAAAAAAGTATTACTTTGTTATATACTATATACTATAAAATTATATAGTAATAATTATATGTATTATATGTATCAATTTTTCCATTATAAAAAAAGTATGTGCCGGTGTATTTTTATGATTTATGACGTTATCATGAAAGCACTGTAGTGCTGCGTTATTTTTCGCAATGTAGTGCAGTATAATTATCGTCTATGATATGTTTCTAAACATATCATAAGCAATTAAAAATAACTACAAAAAATATACAATAAAAAAAAACAAATCTTGAAAAAACATTTAAAATATATAAAGGATTTAAAAAAAATAAAATAAAACGATTAATTAAAAAAAATTGATTAAAGAAAATTAAAAAATTTGTAAGACTATAATTCAATGTGAATGAGTATACATATATGAATATAATAACGAGGAATAATGTATATATTTTCTCTGACCGCAAATCAGCACTCCTAGCACTGCACTCACCTGGAGTGACCTCAAAACTAGTGTCGGAATGACGTTATTTTCAGTAACGGGGTTCACAGGGATCTCAGGGCACAGCGGGTTTGAGGGAAACGCAAAAAAAGATGAATTTGCTAGGAAATGGGCGGCCTCATATTATATTGGGCCAAAACCATTCTGCGGTCATTCATGGAGCTTTTTCAAATTTAAATTGATTGATTGGGATAATGCAATTGCCTGCAAATAAGCTAAACAATTCATGTCGGTTCGATTAAAAGCCAGAACAAGGGAGCTTTTAATGGTAAACAAAAATACCATTCGAAATGTCACAGGGTTTCTTATTACTGAGCATTGCGGAGTACAAAAGAATCTATAGAACCTAGATATTACAAGAGACGATTGCTGCAGAGACAGTTACGAAGAAGAAGAAACAGCAGAACACATTCTATGTCATTGTGATAGAATTCGGCGAGAGTATCACTTCGGTTATAAGTGGATCAACTGCCAATCCACTTATAAAGATATTTAGGCAACATCTCTCCAATGGACATAATGGTGTTTTTAACTGCTACTCATCTATGGAACTAAAGTGGGTTTATCACAATAATCGTCAAAGGATGCAGTGGCGTGGTGACAAGTTCCCAATCCATTTAGAATCTAATATAATGTATGAATATAACAGGAAAAGAAGAGCGAGATTAAATCTTAATCTAATTTATTTCTAGTCTTAGACTTTGAATAGAAATATAAATACAATTTATTTATTATCATCTGTCCAACATTTCACCAATTTATTTTGGATGCAGTTTTCAAGCGATGTCATTAGTTCTCATCTTGGGCTGTGAAATTAACACAAAAAAATGGATTTTAAGAACAATACTTTGTCGAGTGTTTTACAAATGTTTTCTATTTAAATATAAACTTCTTTAAATTTGAAAAATTTATTTTAAATTTAAACAAATAAAAAACAAATTGCTTTTTTAATATTAAAAATACTCAAGTCATCGTTGCAATGTAACTGCTCCCCTGGCAATGTCAGCCATCAATACAACGTCAGATATTCGGAAACAAAATACAAATTGAGTGCAGCAATAAAAAACAACAAACAAACAACAAAACAAAAACAAAAAAACCGTCAAATAATGTTGCAACAAATGCAACTGCAACTGGAACAGCAATTGCAGCATAAAAATCCAGCTTTCAACGCTTGACTAAATCACATGAAAATGTCGTTCGATACTATTCAATCCAATGGACTCGAGCTTAGCTAGGGCATTTGCAATGGCTGATGTTGTTGTTGTTGCTGTTGTTGTTGTGCTTGTTGTTGGTGTTGTTTGAAAATTTTCCGGAGCACTAAAATGTTTGGTTGAGTTATCCTGAGCTGAATTGGGTGGGATGAGCCAGGTATTAACTTCATCGTTATGATTGACAATCATCCACCTGTTTCTGTTCGAGTATGGAGCAGCGAGTGAAGGTATACAAATAAAAAAAGAGATTGAAACAATGCAAAATTCTAGCTGAAAATAACTTCCTTTTAAATTGCAATTTTTGTAATTTTAGGAAAATTGTTTTGTCGATTCAATGATTTTATGCAGATTTTAAGCTTCTTAAAACGTTTTCAAAGATTAAAGTATTGACTGCATATTTTCTACAACAAACTCTCCGCTCTCCTTATAAATATTATAGTTTTAGGAATTTAGAACGGCACAGTTTTTGCCACTTTCTAGTTGCTTTATTCCATTATCCTGTGGTGCTCTTAATAAAAAAACGCTGTTGCGTATCTCGTATCTTATTGTTAATATTTTGTCAAAATGTGTTTCATTGTTGTAAAATTGTTGCACTTTCCTATACAAATTAAGTTGAATCTCGACAGCCTCAACAAGCCTACTTTTCATGAATAAATTTTCGTGACATGAATGGAATGAACTTATTTGCAACATATTTTTCTTTTATTGCACGGAACATGTTACATGTTGCATTTCATTGTTAGTTAACTAATGTAAGATCCTAGAAAATGCATTACTTAGTATAAAACTCATATATTTTTGATATTTCTGGGACTAAAATTAAAAATCGTTGACATAAATATGAAAGTCAAGTCACTTACATACGTGTTGAAGCAAGAAGACTATAAATACGTATATAAAAAAATGTTATCACTTCATTGAATATAGAGTATGTTCAAAATCCAATTAAACTATTAAATAATTTTTATTTTGATTTTTTAATCCCACTTATTTAAAATATTCTCCTTTTAAAGCAACATATCACTGCAGACGAAACACTCTTACCTAGGCCGGAATTGCTTTTAGTATGTCAGTCGAAGCCCTTTGTAAGTTTACTGGCTATTCACTGTAGGTAAAGTAGATGAATGATTGATAAGAATAATCCTTGTATAGTCAAAAATATATATACCAGTAGAACCTATTGAATTCCAGTCCACAATAGTAGCACAACTCTCTGATAACATTCCGCATTCACCGTCTGGACTTTTGGGATGAATTCATTGTGAACAATTCAATTAATTCGGAAAAAATGCTAAGCACTCCGTCCTCAAAGCATGATTTTTTTTTGGTTTAGATCTTTGATTTTCGGTTTGATTCATGAACACATAAATTATCATCAATTACAATAGCTGATATATTTGACAGATAGACTTGAGTCCTTTTTAGAGGACCCTTTTATGATCTCTCTCTCTTAATCCCTCTTATTGACATTAATTTGTCTTTAATGTGCTTTCAAATGTACTATTTTTTTATTCGATTAGTCTCTCAGATACATACCGATCGGACTGATAATTTGTTTTTTTTGCCTTTTGTTAATTTTTAAGGATCTAGTAGAAGTAGATCAATATATCTCTTTTGTGCAACTATTTTGAAGTAAACTATAGAGTGACAATGCCAAAATCTTCTTATAATCAGCCCAATTTTAAAATGCATATTTAAGGTTATTACGTTTTCGTTTTGCTGTAGAAAGTACTTTTTATCACAGAAATTTAATTTTCTTTTGTGATACTTTTATAATTTAGCTATTTATATATGAAAGTTTGCATTAAAGATTAAAAACTTTTGATTTTATGTATTTCACACATTGGTAAAGAGATCAGGAGCTGCTAATATAACATACGATCAATCATTGAATAATAACGCAGATTATGAGGAATATTCAAATTAGTCAGTGAGATGGGTGGGACACTGCAGAAACCCCCCAGCCATCATAGAGTAAAAGTACTCAGATGCAGTAACACGGAAAAGGCTCAACATAAGATAACATATAAACGGCAGATAACTAGAGGTCAGATCAAATGTGGGTTTTTAATAATTGCAAATAAAAGATAAACTACTTAACCTTCACTATTGGACTACATGAACTTATTTGCGCTATGCCTTCAAAATTGGATATCTGATAGTAGTGCATTTGGAAGAGAAAATCGCAAAAGAAAATGGCGAATTCGTATGAACTAGTCCCCGAAATGCTCCCGCATCCACAATATTTCCCAAATTTGACCTCCAGTGATTACTTTCTATTTACAAACGTAAACCAAAAGATCTCATTATGCCAAAAATATATCATTATCTATTATTATCTCATTATAATCTTATCTTCATCTCTGGGATTATTATAAGATATCCCAGAGATAAACATATTTGTCATATGAGGATGTCAACGACGAAACAAACGCCTACTTTGAGACGAAAGACAAGTCATTCTATACAAAAGGTGTTGAATTATTAGAGAAGGACTGGAATGATTGTGTTACTCTTGAAGAAAATTGGCTTAATAAAGTTGAATTTTGTCAGTATGTGTTTTGATAAGATCTTCGAGATTTTTCAGTTGACATGTTCTTCATAGATGATATCCTTGCAGATATCATGCACTACTATTTTAATACATAATATCAAGGCAAGATGCGTTAATGAAATTTTATTGATCATCTAATAGATTAAAGTCTTCAATTTAAGCAAACATATTTAAGCATGTATAAAATTGATATAATAAAAATTAAAAATATTGAAAAAAACTTTAAACATTCAAAATATTATGCTCGAAAAACACTCTCAAAGTGGTAAAGCAGTAGAAAAAATATTATTTTAATTTTTTTTGTAAATTTCATAAGTTATTTAAATCTGTGAATTATGCTTCCTTACTACATAATGAAATAATATAATATCGGCTTAAATGTAATTTACACAACTTGAAAAAAAATGAAATTAAATTTTAATCACAATGGGTATTCCCATTGCGTCGCGTATACGCCACCACGTGGTCCCTGTGTGAGTTCTTCAGTTTAAGCACGAAAAGGGCAGGATAAACAATAGGAAGAAAAAAAATTTGTAGATTAGAGCTTCGAGTAACCTGGCAAAGTGCGATTTGGTTTGT